GGTGATTCCCCACGATTTGTATTCGAAAATTTTTTGAAGTGTCACTTTAAAAATCCTGTTTTTAAGATCAATTACGAAAATTTTGAAAAGTTTGACATGTTAGAATGTTACATATTAAAAAATTATTTGTTTTTAAATACCAGAAGTTATCTTCGTATTTAATTGTTAACTTTTTAGATTTTACCTACCGCCCCGTAACTTACAGGAAACTGTAAATTTAATTTCCTTGACGACACTAGATGTAAATTTTATAAAAAAAGTTTATTTCTAACTTTATTCTAAAACAATAAGAAATAACGAACCCTATATTTTTGTAATCAGAAAAAAATAACGAATTTAATAAGCGAATAATCAGTGGTTGTTTCCATTAAAAAAAAAGAAAATTCTCATGATATCTCAAAATCTAAAATCGAAAATTTTTTTTTGACTACGTCATGAAATTCTCTGTAAAAAAGTGTGCATATAATGTCGTAGTTATAATACTCCACCTATAATAATAACCAAGATAATTGCACTTATTGGTTTTACGATATTTTCAATTTTGGCCTCTAGGGGAAAAACAAAAGACGATAGCGCTATGAGGTTTTCGGCGTTAGCAGTTTCTTGAAAAACGAGATCATGACATGTAAGCTACTTTTTTTCTAACTCTTATAGTTTCCGAGTTAGCCTATTCGGACATCGAATTTGAACCACCCTGTACTGTAAGGTTAATGACTGATAATTAAAAAATCGGAAGTGGAATCAATAACACAACTTTAATACTAATTGCAACCAAATGAAAAGAATAAGAAAAGCAAGAAAAGAAATTTACATCAAATTAGATGATTTTGAAAAATCACATGGTAAAACTCTTTTAATGGCTTTAAATAAATTATTATGGAAATCAATCGCTGATGTTGAATTACAATCCTTTAACTTATCAATGACGCATTTTTCGTAATTTATAACATCCCTATAAATAAAAAAAATGTTACACATCTTTGAGAGTCTTCATAAATTTTAACTTACATGCATTTTTGCTCTTCGAATACAAAAGCGTTATCGTAAACGGATTGGAACATGGTTTTTAAACTTTTCGTGGAATGAAAACAACCCAAAACATCGGTGGTTTTTTCATCAATACATTGAAAGCCCCCGTTTTCAATTAAATCTAGATGTAAACTAATTATTTTAGTTTTAATTAATTGTTTTTAAGTTTACCTCTAGTTCTTTGACCGTTATGATAACAAACATGACCGGTAACAGATTTTATGAACCTCATACCGACTCGAACGAATTTTATTTCATCTTCATTTTCCATACATTTCTCTAAATTTTTCATGAACGGCGAAAAACACCGGACAAAATCTTCTTTCATGTCGCAATATTTCATTAAAACTTGTTTTAACGATCCATTTTCGTAGGCCGTAATAAGTTCGTTTCCAAGAACGGAAGCGTTGTAAAAGATATCTGATACGCATTCGGAGAGATAAAGTCTCACTTCCTTTAAAGACAACAATTACATAGTTAAGTTTTACATTAATTATGACTAATAGAATATTTATTACTTGCATGTCGGAGAAAGCATCCTCATTTCCGTATGCTCTAACACATTTTTCTTTAAATCTCTTTTGTTGTTCTGAAAATTGAGCTTGTTCCTGATCTTGATTGTTATTCACTTCCAGGAGGTCTTCAGATAAAGGGGTGGCTTTACAAGTTACTAATTGAACTAAAAAAATTATTAATTATTTATCTAACTGTTAATTACTTATACTTACTAGTTATTAAAGCTGAAAGAATAACAAAAACAATCTTTTTCGTGTTGTAGTCACCCATTATATCTTTACTGCCCGAAGTCGAGGAAGAATATGAAGTCAACCCAAAAATATAAAAACAAGAATGTGGTCATTTTCTTTTTTTCTGGAGTGGTGTAGGTCGAAGATTAATAATCTCTTTAATTGGTTAATGGGTCATGTGATTGAAACGTTTCTAATTTAAGACTTTAAATTCACGTTTAATTAGAAAATTTGTTACGACTCATTCTATCTTTTTAAATTTGATTAAATAATTAATTACATAATATATTGATTTGTAGGATAGTAACCGCGTTTAAAAATAGCTTATTTTCACTATTTCGTATTTATTTTAGTACTGGAAATCTACATTCTTTAACAAATCACGAGAAACCGCCATAAAACGCATTGTTATAAAATAAAACATCCAGACATAATTAATTACAGATGATAACATTTACAGAGGTGATATATAACGAAATAATTTTAATTTGAACTTAGTTAAATTCTTTTGCTTTGAGATGTAACGTATATTTTCTAATATTCAAAATGAGTTCAAAAAATAACATACCATTCAATAAATTCTTATATTTTTCTGTTTTTACAAGTAAGTAAGACGTTTTATAATTAACATTTTCTATATTTTAAATGAGCAATAAATGGAAGAACCTGCAAGATCTTCCAAGATTTGTAATTTTATTGAACAAATACAGGGTGTCTCAGCGAGACCGGTCATTAAACGTTTCTGGCTAAAATAAAAATTTGAGAATTTAGACTTAAGTATTATTAATTACGATCTCTTCGACTAAAATATTTTCAGATTTCTTGCACTTCCGGTTATA